AGAAAGAACACCACTGTGGACTGACAGCAGTAATACCTATTGGGGTAAACATTTAGCAAGACAAACGCAAAAGAACGTGATCAGTTGTAAAGGTGCTACTTGGTATTACCTGATTCTGCATCTAGAAAGGATCAGAGAGAACTCTAGACTTCCCTTTCATCTTGTATGTCTACTGAAAAGGAGCAGGCTCTTGAAAAGCCTTTCCAAGCGTAACCCGTTGCTGTCCCCTGAAACACAGAATCGCACATACCTGGGATCCTATTGAGTGTCACCCAGAAATGTTCATCAGGACTGAAAGTGTCTTTGGACCACCGGAGCAGGTCAACCGCCCGTGGGTCACGGAGGACAAAGTCGGTGAACTCTCTTGATAGAGCAACATAGGCAGAGCCAAAGTAAATGGTGAGGTTATGGGGCGGGGGAGGTTTCAACGCTGTGGTTCTGATCACATAGGAAAGCTCTTTGCCCAGGTGTTCCCGGTGGACGTATTTAGTCCGTCCAACAGCATGGGCGGGGGGCAGCACCCCCGGGGTAATGTTTTTCCCTTTAAATCCTTTCAGATACCGAACTATCTCCTTGTTGGTTTTCAGGGGGAAATCTTGCCCGCACGTGTTGATGGCGTACCTCCATGGGACCCTGGAGGCCGCGAGGTCTTTGACGCAGTTCAGGTCGGCCTGGAGCCGGGAAATCCCGCCGTAGACTACAGGCTCCATCTTCGAAGCCAGAAAAGCATTTGGGAAGCAGCTTAGTAATTGCTCCACCGCACCTTTAAATTCGACTGTAGCCTTTTCATCCACGTGAACGCAGTAGACATTCTGGGGCATGTAAATAGCTCTAAAGAGCCTTGCAAAGGTATCAAAATGGTGATGGATGACCATTATGTATGCCAAAGGAAATTCAGCTTCTTCTTTAGATAAAGGGGCTGTGATGTAGTGGCTTTGGGCCAGGTATTCTCGGCAAGAAGACATCTCGTGCATCTTCAGTTTGTTTCGCCACAGGAAAGGCGTTTTGCCTCTGATAAAGGATGTGCAGATTTGGGTCAGCATCCAAGTGTCTGAATTATTTAGCCTCTGGAAGCCTTGCTCTCCCCCAAAACCAAACGCGTAGAGCACGATAAAAAGGACGACACAAGAAACAGACACTATAAAGAGGTAACGCATGGATGAAGGCAGCATGCCTCACGGAGGCGCAAGTTTTCAAAGATGGGCAAAATCTGCGAGTTCTCCCCCAGACTTACTTTCTCCTCTGAACTCTTAGTTTGGTACATACTCCAGTCATTCCTAGCCTCAAGGAGATGCTGGGAATCGATTCCGTTTCATGCCGGGCGTGCAGCTGCTGGCTCCGTCCCCGGTGCTGATATGAGCAACTGGTCCCACCTCGTGTTCTCTGCTTCTCAAACCGCCTTTGTCTAAAGCCCGGCGGCAAGTTCCAGAAGCCCAGCCTTTTCCCTCCCTCGGCTTTCCTGCCCGGCATCTGCTGGCTGTTGCCCTAAAACACCGGCAACTCCTTTCCCCTGCAGATTTAGTTTCTCAGATCCCTTCTTTCAGTTCCCATGTGTTTCCCGCCCCACCCCACCCCCGCTTGTTATTGCCATTCAGGGAATTAGCCCAGTGAAAGGCAGAGCTGAAATAATGCGCTCTGGCAGGCATGTTGCCTTTCTGCCAGCCGTCTGCAGGCTGCGGACTAGCCCCTCTTGTCGCTCATGGCATTCCCCCGGACCCCCCACTCTTCCAGTACAATCCACGGCATGTAACGTGGCCTCCAAGCTCCAATGCTTTAATGAAAAAACAAAATGCTTTAATGACAAAAGTGACTAAGGTCACCGAGATCTAAAATGAGAAAACAACATCATCCATCTCGGCGCCTTTGTGAGGCTTTCTGGCCCCGCCCTACCCTTTTCTAAAACAAGAGATCACAGGACTTCCAGTCCTAGGGGATCTGACAGCTCAGGCTCCCGGTCCTCTGACTCTGAGTCCAGGTGCCAGACCCCCCTCCCCTGACCCCGCCTTACAGCATCCACTGTGGTTTGTCAGAGTGTTGGGGTCACAAGAACAAGTCCCAAGCTACATCCCCTGATTTCCTTAAGGCCCCAGAGCTCCATTGGAAAGAACCTGAATCCTTGGCCACAAGTGATGTTCCGATTGAGGGAACCGGGGGCAGGGGGCACTCAGGTTTTAAACCCACCCGGAGAGCATCATCTAATTCTCAGAGAAGTCCTTTATATCGGCCTAGTCGGATATTTGACCACCTAGGAAATAGATGCTACTTCCCCTTATCTATAAATAGTAGTGTTTTGGATAAAGAATATCAAGCTCTTTGACTTAGAAGGTTTTCACTTTCAACCCTTCACTTTCCCACCAGCTATTTTCTTTTTTTTTTTTTTAAATAAAGACGAATGTATTTTATTTAAAGTGACTTCTAAAAGCCAGTTCAACTACTAAATGCCTTCCCATTTCTCCTCACTCTCTGGATTCAATACCTCAGACCCTCCGCCCTATGTCATTAACTCACAGTGCAGATTGAGTCCCCACCCCGAGACGAAATAATGTCTTTCAAAATGCTTTCTCTTCTTCCTTTTGAAAAGCCTCTACCCTGCTATTAATGGAACTAATAAGACAATATGCTGATTCCTTGCTTTGGCACGGATAGGAAAACAAATGTGAGCCGAGGCACCCTGCTCCAGGTGAATGACACATCACTTCCTGAACACGCCATATTTTTTGTTTTTTTAAGTAAACTCAACGCCCAGTATGGGACTGGAACTCACAATCCCGGAGACCAAGAGTCACATGCTCCATCAACCAAGCCAGCCAGGCACCCTTGTAGTTTTTCTTTCTGCTAGTTTCCATTGTTCCCATTTTTTTTATTCTTCTAGCTTATACCTTATTTCCCTCTCTCCTTTGCTAAATTCTCCTCATTCTTTAAGACCTGCCACAAATAAACTCCGTGTAGAACCCACCTTCAGATTTTTAGGCAAAGTAGAAAGAAGAAAATGTAACCGTTATGCCGGCAAAGCAGATTAATCTAATTCTTAGTGTCTTCCACAGAACAGAGCAAAGGAAAAGATCGAGAGTGCACGATAATGGAAAACTCAATCCCAAGCTTCTCTTTTTCCAAATAATGCCTTTAAATATGAGCTTATTGTATATTTTATTTCAAAACAACAGACAGTAATTTCGGTATCTCATTTGGCAAAGCCTTTTGGCTCAGAATGAATATTAATATATTTGCAGTCTGATAAAGTGCTCAGGGTACACATGCATAACTTAATTAGGCCAGTGGAGTCTGTTTACATTGTTGTTTCCAACTGGCCAATAACACAGGGTTCAGATCTACACAGCCGTAGGGGACTGACATTATAATGCCATCATATTAAGAAATAAATGCACACCAGCCAAATTAGGAGCTATCCCAATGTTTCTGTATTCAATCTATTACCTTGAATGGCATTGTTTGTGTGTTAAAAATATAGCTGTTTTTCCTCTCTGCCCTTCTGGCTGTCCTTGGGCCAATGTTCCCCACTCACAGATTCTGGTATTTAGAAAAAAAAAAAAACCCACAGAAGAACTTTTTAAGAAACTTCACGTTGCAACAGGGAAAGCCTGTAACTATTAGCTTATGCTCCTAATCTCCTAATAGGCCATAAGACCTGTTAACCCAGAACAGACACCGGGTGGTTTTTTTCACTACTGAGACTGAACAGCTCAGCCGTCCTTCCCTACGTGCCTTTGACTGCAGGCAGTGACCAGTTTGGCATCCGCAGGCCTAGCAACCAAATCTCCTGGTTCCCTTGGCAAGTAGTTATTCCTGAACTAGCCAATTAATCGGGCTAGACGTGCTTACCCTCCCTTGGGCCACCTTCAAAGCTGGCTCTTCATTCCACTCAGAAGTTTTTTATTTTTTTGTACATTATTCAAGAATGTTTTCGGTGATGGAGCTATGTAGAACCCAGCTGCGAGACGAAAGACAGTAACCCTTACTGGAAATGATAGAAGACTCAGAATCTCTATGAAATAAAGAAATAATCAAAGGGGCAAAAGCATATTATCCTCTGACACCCCAGTACCATTAGCCTTCTCATGTGAAGGGGCAGGGTGGCCTTTGTCCACCGACCCAAGATCTCAAGAGTTGAAGGCGGCAGCACAACAGAAATTGTGGCTAACCAGGCAGTCGTAGAAGACCTTGCACGAAGAACTTGGCCTTCATGTTACTGCAAAAAAAGCACCACCAAAGACATGTTTAGGTGGAGGAGCCCTCCTGGGCAACACGTGGCAATAGAAGAACAGGAGGAAAGGTAAGAGCAAAATAAACCATGGTGACAAAGTATGCGTCAGCCCATAAATGCATATTACACACATTCATAATGATATTAATAGGAGCGCCTGGGTGGCTCAGTTGGTTAAGCATCGGACTCCTGGTTTGGGCTCAGGTCATGATCTCAAGGTTTGCGAGATCGAACCCTACACGGGGTTCAGCACGCACAGCACAGAGCCTGCTTGGGATTCTCTCCCTCCCTCTTTCTCTATCTGCCCCTTCCCTACTCTTGCACTTGGCATGTGTGCACTCTCTGTCTTTTTCTCTCTCTGAAATAAATAGGTAAACTTAAAAAAAAAAAAAAAGGATGTTCTCTACGGTCCCTTCTGGCGAAAACGGGCTGTAATTCAGGACGTGTCAGGTGAGCCCACCGAGCAGCAGTGACAAATCCAGGAAGTGTGGAGTATGACCCCTGTCCTGCAGGAAACTGTGTCTTCACTAGGATTCAAAATACATTCAGCTGAAAATACATAACCAACAAAACAGAAGAGTGTGGATCAGTTCCAAACAAGAGGACATCCGCCGAATGCAATGGGAGCTCAGAGGAGGAAAAAAAAAACTTCCTTGAAGCTGGGATGGTTAGAAAGCGCTTCCAATGCGTGTATCCCACACTCCGAATATGGAGAAGGCACTCCAGCTGGAGAAATTACAAGAGGGAGCAAGGACACCAAAATAAGAAAGCCCAATGTGGAGAAATTTCCCAGGCAGGGTTGTGAATCTAGAACTTCACTGGCATAGCAGCAGATAAAAACCTTCCTATCAGTGAGCCATGACCTCAGAGTACCAGTCGTAGCTAGAAGGTGACTTGAAGGACAGCAGGGGCTTTCTCCTTTCTCCCTCTGTTCCTCCTGTGGTCCAGCAACTCTAAGAGCCTTCCCTTTGTGTCCCAGCAAGTGGGTCATTTGGCACACGTTGTGTTCAATGCTTGTTTAATGGGTCCAGGATCTAGTGATGAGGAAAAGACTGTTAAAACGTATAATATAGATTTCTACTTCTAGTTCTATTTTAATTTATACCCACTGTTTTAATTTATGTATTAGAACAGCATAAGCTAGGAGAGCTCTCCATGATTTTTTCTTTTAAGTAGATGTTCTAGTTCCCCAGACGTGTGATTTTACTGTTCCGATAGTCCTTTCTTCACTCTGAAGTTTCAACACACACCTCGAGAGACCTACCTCTGAATGTACCACATCAGCACTGGGCTGCTTTTGCACTTCCTCACACACCTTTTCTTTGTTTAATTGCATGTACTTATGCAAACTTCATTATACTCTCATGATTGTTATGGGACTTGTTTTTCCATTCTCAATTAACTGTGTCCTTTAGTTGGGAAAGACATTGAGGGGATCCAGACTTGAGCAGCAGGCATACTACATTCAAAGTGTTAAGTAACGCAGAATGAAGGTTGTTGAGCTAACACTGGGAGCCTAAGTCAGACTGGCAGAAAAGGTTAGGTGAATGAGGTGAGATTATATTTCTTGGGTTTGCTGATGGCTGTCCTTTGGAAGGTCATTTTTGTGTGGTTTCCTTTGTTATTGAAGCAGGCCAAATGACTCAGGGATTCATTCTTAATTATAAAATGTAAGGGGGGGGCACCTGGGTGGCTCAGTTGGCAAAGCGTCCAACTCTTGATTTTGGCTCAGGTCATGATCTCATGGTTCATGGGATTCTCTTTCCCTCTCTTTCTGCCCCTCCCCTGCTCTCTCTCTCTGTCTCTCTCTCTCTCTCTCTGTCTCTCTGTCTCTCAAAATAAATCACTAAACTTTAAAAAAAGAAAATGGAGAGATTTATGTTTTTCCCTACGGCTAAGAGTAATTCACAGGAAAGTAGAGAATGTAGACAATCCAATTCACTTTGGACAGCCAGCTACATAACTCTGTACTGGGGGGCTGGATAGTTTGTCAATGGAGGTTTTTGTTTGTGTTTTTCATAATGATCATGAAGTCAGAGAGAAGAAAGGAGACATTTCCAAAGCACATCTTTAAAACAACAATTCTCCCGTAACTGAAGAGTCCTCTGATGGGGTTCACTGGGGAGACTCCACCTTCTCCTGAGACCCAATCATTTTGCTTTCTATACCCTTCATCTAATTAGCAACAGAAGAAGCTGTTGTCTGGATCATGGAACCCAAAACATTATTAAAACTCTCATTTCAGAGGAGGGAAGAAGTTTAATATGCAGAATCTTAAAAACTAGAAAGCAGGTTCAGCGGATGGTCATCTTAGATAGACCATATCACAATGGTGTAAGGGGAAATTATCTGCATCTGATTTTGATGGAGTGAAGGTATCATGGAAACACTTCCTGGATGCTAATGAGTGCTAAGCAAATACTTGCAGAGGACAGTCTATACACATTCAAATAGGCAAATGTCCAAGCATGCGCCGATAGGAGGCAATCTTCCCGTCGCATGAATGTAACAATTAGAAATATGAAGAGCTTGGTATTTGGAGGCTTAGTCGATGAAAAATAAATGACTCCAAAGAAGTCACAGCCAATGACCACCGATGAAACTTACCACTGAATTTACATGTGGAAGTGAATTGCTTAACTCTGGAAAAACCAAAGCATTTGTTTCTAAAAATATTCAGCCCAAACTAGGTGTGCCTAGTGGTTTGGGGATAAGGATTGTCCAGATCGAAAGTATGCAAACTTCCATCAAGCATCCCATCACCTGGAGGGGTGGTTAAAATACAGGCTGCAGGGCCTTGCAAAAGGTCAGTAACTTCCAGGAGGCACTTAATAATCTGCATTTCTAGCGAGCTCTTGGGACCAACCTTTGAGAACCAATGGATCAAACACTAGAATTCTTTGATTTTGTTTTTCCTCCATGACGCTACCTGATCTGTTTGCCTGTGACAAGGCAATACGCTGTAAAACAAAACAAACAGCCTATGTTCGGGAAAAACAATACTGTAGGATTTGAGAAAACTTAATAAACAGGAACTGGAATGGTGAATGATCTGATCCTTTGAGAAACTTCCTATGGAAAGTGTATCAGCACCCCCAGGAAGAACGGAAGAACATGGATGCACAGAAAGGTGTTGGTACTGCTACGTAAGTGAGAAAAACCCTAACTGTGAGGAGTCCTGCCCCAAATGCCTTGTCTAATTTACCATCTACAGCAAGCACACCTGTGCATAATCCTAGTCTTCCACAAAATATGGAACAGGATTATTTACTGACAAACACTAATGTTTTGGGTATCTAACATGCCATAAATTGAATTAGAGGAAGGCTGTAGGAAAAGAGATTAAAAGACAAGAACCAGGGACACCTGAGTGGCTCAGTCAACTGGGTGTCCGACTCTTGATTTCGGATCAGGTCGTGATCTCATGGTTCGTGGGATCAAGCTCTGTGTTGGGTTTGGTGCTGACAGCGTGGAGCCTGATTGGAATTCTCTCTCTCCCTCTCTCTCTCTGCCTCTCTCCTACTCACACATACATGCCCTCTCTCTCTAAGTAAATAAACTTAAAAAAAAAAAATACAACCAGAGAGAGAGAAAGGCAGAAAATGTGAAATATTGGTGCAGGTGCTAAACACCCTGAACTTCATGTACTGCTGGTCAAAGTGTGAATGGACACAACTCTGGAAAATGCAGTATCTACCAAAGTTGAGCACAGGTGGGTCCTATGACCCAGGACGGTCTTTCTCAGAGATTTCCTCAACAGAAGTGCATACATGTTTATCAAAGGACATGCATTTCAGTATCTATGGCAGCCATATTCACAATAGACCCAAATGCCCACCAACCCAAATGCCGTCAGAGTTTTTCAGCCTCGGCACTACTGGTATTTTGGGTTGAATGTACCTTGTTGTGGGGCTGTCCCTTGCCTTGTAGGATATTTAGCGGTATCTCTAGCCTCTACCCACTAAGTGCCAGTAGCTTCCTTGCACCCCCCACCCCATTGCAAGGTATGACAACCAAAAATATTTCCACGTATCTCCAAATGGTCCCTGGGGGGCAAAATCATCCCTCCTTACCTCGTGCACCTCCTATTCTCTACACAGCAATGGGAATGAAAAAATATAACTACCTGAAAAAATATATATATATAACTGCCTGCCACCCACAAAGTGAATGAATCTCACAAACACAACATTGAGCAAAAAAGAAAGGCAGACAGAAAAAGAGTACATGTTGTATATTTCCATGTCTGGAAAGTGCTGGAGACCCATTCCAGCCAGTCCAGGGGTCCCTGAAGGATGGACGGTGTCGGCGAGAGTAAGAGTGAGAAAGCCCCGAGATTCTTTCTCATCACCAGGCAGGCATCTCTGTCCTGTCGGTTTTGGTGTCTTTATTTATAGGTCAAATGATAACATGACATCAGAAAAAGGAATTTTTACAATGGATAACTCTTTGTGGTAAGGTGCTTTGGAAAGTGTACAGAAGCAGGTTTTACAGAAGTATTCTTGCAGAACTACTCCAATCATAGTGAGGCTGAGTAAATCTTACAACTACAGAAATAAGAGGGTATTCTTAGTGAAAAACAGGATAAATACATATTTGTTCTAAGTTAATACCGCTAGGATTAGGACATAGGTGAAGTTGTATATAGATAGGCCAGGAGTCATTTTGTCTGCCTCACAAGAGGATGAATGTTTTTGAGCTGGTTAATAAGTTGTTTGTGGAAACTTTTTTGACTTGATGCTGAATATGTAAACCCCATGGAGGCCCTAAATGTGTCAGCCTTTGTTTTTGGGTTATGTTTTAGCTACTCTTTATCTATACTCATCCCAGCTGCCAGTGTAAGGGAGGGTGTTTGTGGAAAGTAGGCCTCAGGGAAGGGACTGCCGTACATCACCAGTTAGAAAAGGTATAAGTATTACTTAAGTTCTGCCCTTATCTGTTCCTTAACTCTAAATTAGGCTCTTTGTCTCAGGGCCAGGCTTTGTAACTCTTGTGTTCTTAACCCCCTTTATTATCTAAGTCTTAGATCTACAAGGCCCCTAGGAGGAGCCTTTGGACAATCATCCACAGTGCTTTCATCTAAAATTTCATTTGAAGCAACAGGAATATGCTTTTCCTTATGAGGAATCTGTGTGGGGAATATTGGTCTGGTTTGGAACATTGTGAGGCCTGGTCAATAACCGCAGACTTATTTCCAACATGAGCCAGTAGTGGCAGAAGGAGACACCAGTTTCGCTTCTCATGGCCGGAGCTGTGCAAACGCTGCCATTTCCTCGCTGTGACTGTCACCCAGCGAGGCCGGTGCGGCTCCCAACGTCTCCCCCTTTTTTATTATATATTTTTAGAATATATAATAAAGAGACAAAGGACAATTAACATGGCTCCAAGGATCAGACCGATATTTATAAGAAAAGGAAGCTATAATTACTGACAAAATTATGCAGTCCATCTAGTAAGGACATTGCTACCTGGAAGGAGAAACAAAGATAATAGATCAGATCAAGGGAAGTATCATGGAGAACAGGACCTGCCAGAGACAGATGTCTGTTCCCATAATCACAAAGGGAGAGGTTCCTGCAATAATTTCTTTCACGGGGTGCAATCATCATACCAGGGCCAGAATAAGGTGACAGTTACTTCCGATATCAATCAACAAGGTACCTTGGGGGTCAGTACTCAAGCAGAAATAATTGAGTGGGGGTGGATATCGGTCGCCATCTGATGGCAAGAGACCGTGCAAATTTGCCTTAACCTCACAAGGAGCATTCTCAATTTATGAGGTCAGAAACAGCTCCCAACAATAAAGGACAAAAACAGGTGAAAGTCATCTATGGGGTTAGACGTCAGGGTAGTGACTGGGATGCTCGTCATGTTCTGTGTTTCGGTGGCTGTTACTTGCGTGTGTTCAACTGGGAAGCTGCGTTGAGCTGAACACTATTGATCTGTGCACTTTCCTGTGTTATAAAATTCTTCACCAAGAATGAATGAATGAATGAATGAATGAAATGAATCATGGTCCTCCCCCCAGAAAAAC